CCATCTAGCTCCCTGCTTGTGGTCCTGGGAAAGCAGTCGAGGACGGACCAAAGCCCTGGCACCCTGAACCTGCGTGGGAGACCCAGAAGGGCCTCTTCACTCCTGGCTTCACATCGGCTTAGCTCTGTCTCTTCTCTTTGTAAATCTGATCTGCCTTTCCAATCAAAATAAATGAAAATCTTTACATATATGTTTACTCACGTGGGACACTTGGAGGAGCGCCTGGCTCCTGGCTTCGAAGGGGCCCGACTCCAGCTATTGCAGCCATTCGAGGAGTGAACTAACAGATGGAAGACATCACTGTTCTCACCCTCCCCTCTTGGGGTAACTCAGCCTTTCAAAAAATAAATAATTTTTTAAGGATTTGTTTATTTTTATTGGAAAGTCAGACGCACAGAGAGGAGGATAGACAGAGAAGATCTTCCATCTGATGATTTATTCCCCAAGTGGCCGCAATGGCTGGAGCTGAGCCGATCCAAAGCCAGGAGCCAGGAGCTTTTTCCAGGTCTCCCACACGGGTGCAGGGTCCCAAGGCTTTGGGCCGTCCTTGACTGCTTTCCCAGGCCACAAGCAGGGAGCTGGATGGGAAGCGGTATAGCCTGGACTAGAATCAGCTCGCTCATACGGGATCTCGGTGTGTAAGACAAGTACTTTAGCCGCTAGGCCTAAATCAATGGCCACAATGCTCAAAGCTTCTCAGAGCCAGGAGCCAGGAGCTTCTTCTAGGTCTCCCACTGTAACGGGACATTGTGACCCTATGAGGTCAGCAAGCACAGGATTGCACTTGACAGGATAATATTTGTTTGAAAACACCTGAGTGGGTACCATTCGTATAGCTAAATGCATACTATTTGTATAAGAACAAAAGAGTTCCAAACAGAAATACAGAAACGGTTCATGGGTTTTGTTGATAAGCTCAATACCTTATCCTATATGAGCCTCAGTGTATAAAGTCTGATGCCACTAATAAACTTCGGCTTTCAGTCAGAGTCCACACATGTTATTATCGGCTCCGTGTACCCACTCCATCGCTGCAGGACGGGGACAAGTGGCGCCTGGACAGGGACTTGAAAGAAGAAGATGCAGGTTCCAGGCCAGGTCCATCTCCACATTGGAGTTCTGATTCCAGCCACTGCATGCATGTGATGAGCTGTCCCCTGGTCTGCCTGAGCTCCAGAGGCTGCTCCTTTCCTGGTGTTCACTGAGAGGGGAAATACGGGGAGCAGGGTGGGCCCGAGCCCATCAGACAGAAAATCTTCCTCTCTGTCTCACCTCCTCTCTGTATATCTGATTTTGTAATAGAAATAAATAAATCTTTAAAAAAAAAAAAAAGATCTTCCATCTGCAGATTCACTCCCCAAGCAGCCACGACAGCCGGAGCTGAACCAATCTGAAGCCAGGAGCCAGGAGCTTCTTCTGGGTCTCCCATACGGGTGTAGGATCCCAAGGCCCTGGGCCATCCTTGATTGCTTTCCCAGGCCACAAGCAGCAAGCTGGATGGGAAGTGGGGCTGCCGGGATTAGAATCGGTGCCCATACGGGTTCCTGGGGAATGTGCAAAGTGAGGACTACAAGTGCTAGGCTACCACACCAGGCCCATGAATGACCTTTCTGAGCCCCAAGCATGCTTCCTCAACATGGCCTGTTCCCTGACCAGTCAAGGCAGGTTGTCTGGGCAGCTCCCGGCCTCTCACACCTGGTCTTTTCATCTGTGACTGATGGTCTGGAAACCGTTCCTTCCTCCCTTACAGCCAGCCGCATGCCTGGTCACCTAAGTTGGCAGCTGTAATGAATTCTTCTCCCACTCACTCATGCCCCAGAAACGCACAGTCAGTCCCACTTCCTTTTCCTTCTGCTTGTAGTCTGGGTTCCCCCCCCCACACACACTGGGGTCCTGGCTTCCTCCGCCCTGGGGTGCGAGCCTGCTGGACATAGTTACACAGCTCCCAGCATCCCACCTGTCCACACTGGCTCCTTGGGGACCACTCCTTGGCTTGAGGAGCGCTAAGCCAGGACGGAGTCTCCATTTCAGCTAGGGACTGTGGGAATTCCCAGGGAACAGGGGTGTCGGAGATGGGAGGGTGGCCGGCCAAGTCTCTGCAGGGGGCGGAAGCCAGCTGAAGAACTGCTGAACAGGGCACAGACAGCGCCTTCTGCGGCAGCACCCCCAAGTCTGCAGTGCGATTCCTCTCCCGTTGGGTTGGTGCTGAGCCGGGTCAGGTGCGGCTGATGGGAGGCACCTGGCACGGCTCCGCCAGAGCCAGTTTTGGTGAAGGAGGCAGGCTAAGTGATCAAGGCCCACCCAACTCCTGTGATGTCTTGGGTTTGCCCTGACGAGAGCCGCTTCTGGCTGGAGAGAGCTCCAAGGGATGATTTTAAACTTTTTTTTTTTCTCTCATCTCCTTTCCTACTCAAGCTGTTCAGGTGCCATCCTGAGATTGAAGGGCTGACTTGGTCAAAGGGGTGTGAAATAGAAAACCTGACGCCTAACTGCCTTCTCAGGGAAGCACTGCGAAGTACAAGGCCCAGGCGAACCTTCGCTTCCTCAACCTAATAATCTTAAAAGCCATTTGGAAAAAGCAAGCCAACTACCGCGTCCATCCCTACGGCCCGGTTCCGTTCCCCTCCACCTCTTCAGAGCGTGGAAAGGTCTGTGAGCAATGAAATCCCACAAGTGTGTGAACCCTCAAAGCGAATTCACCTTTCCCCTTTTGTTGGGGAAAGAAAAAACTTGAGCAATCTGCTTCAGACATACAACTTTTATTCTTCCCACGACTTAATTCCCATCATCCTAATAATAATGGTAATAATAGAGGAATACCAGCTACGAGGAAAGCTGCTTGTAGCCTGCAAGGAGAGTGGTAAGCTTGAGGAGCTGATGGAGTTAGCGGGGTGGGATGGGGCGGCCCGGTAGTGGCCGTCGGGTGACGGAAGTTTGTCAGGCTTATAGGGTCACCCTGGCTACCGGATGGCCATAGGAAAAGCAGACGACACAGTGGGGATGGGAAACGCGAAGAAGCGCTGCTTCGTGGAAGGGTCAGGCCCACATTCTCTGGATACGTCGGGCGGCCTTGGAGTTCACGTTAGGTGCTTGCAGCGCGCCCGGTTCTTAGCTAAAGCGGGCAGGAGAGGGGCCTGGAACCGTGCAGAAGGGGCCTGGCGGTGTAGACCCGGCCTTCGGGAGCAAGAGCTGCTCCCAAAGGAGCCGAGATGAAAGCCTGGCCGGCTGGGGGGCGGCGGCGGGGTTGAGGCGCAGAGCGACAGGGCGCCCCGTGCACTCCGGTGGCCTTGGAGGCCGCGTCCGCCCGGTCGGAGTTACGGAGCGGCGGAGCCGACGAGCCAACTACTCGTCCATACGAGGGCATCAGGTATCCCAACGTCTGGGCGGCCCCTCTTTCCCCAAAAGAAAAGGCCGAGGCGCAGCAGGGCCGCCGTTCCTGCGGAGCGCGAGAGGGGCGGAAGCAGTCCTTCCCCGGCCCCGCGCCGCGGCCCCCCGCTCCACCAATCAGCGCGCTCCCTCGGCCGGCCAACCCGGCGCGCTTGCTGACGCGCCGAGGCCGGCGGCCCGCGCTCGGCGGGCCCGTTAACTGCGCGCCTCTTGGGCGCCGGCCCCTGGGCGGAGGCGCGTGCGGGCGCGGCCCTGGCGCGCCCCCTGGCGGCCCGGCGGGGGCGCTGCGGGCACGGCGCTGACCCGGAGGCGGCGGCGGCGGCAGCGGCGGCGGCAGCGGCGGCGGCGGCGGCGGCGGTGCCCGGATGGAGGCACGTCATTGTCCCCCGCCGGGCGGCAGGGCTGTGTGCGGCGGCGGCGGCGGCGGCGGCCGAGGGGGATGGAGCGAGCGCCGAGCCGGGTCAGGTAAAGCTCCCGCCTCCTTCCCGCCTGCCGCAGTCCAGCGTGGGGGCCCGCCGAGCGCTCGGCGCGGCTGCAGCCGGCCCGGCCGCCCCTTTCACCGGCGCGGCCCCTCCGGCGGCCGGCGCGGCCCCCTCGCCCGCCCCGCTGTCCTCCCGGGGGGCTCCCCCGGCGGCCCCGGGACCCCCGCCGCCGCCGCGGCTGGTGGGGTGGGAGCGGGGCTGGCGGGGCGCAGGGCCGGCAGCGCCCGTCCCGGCCAGGCCCGCTCGGGGAGGGGGCGGCGGCGCTGGCCGCGGCGGGCGGGAGGCCGGACCCCCGCCCTGCCCGGTTGCCATGGACACTGCCCTTCCACCCGCACCCCTCGGCGGCCCCGGCCGGTGCCCTCGGGCCCGTGGGGGTCCGGGGAACCCGGGCCCGAGCCGGTGGGCGTGTGCCGGCGGCCGAGGTCCCCCCATCTGCGGGCCCGCCCCCCGACCGACCCGCGGCAGCCCTCGGGGAGGCAGATTGGGCCAGCCGGACGTCATCCCCTCTGCGTCCCGGGCTCGGCTTTTTTTTGGGGGGGGGCCCGTCCACCTGCCTCGGACGCCGGGCACCCGTGGGCACCCCTTAAAAGTCGGGGAGACTTGCGGGTGGCCCTGGGGGCGGGGCTGGGGCTGTGTGTGTGGAGGGTGTGCGTGCCCCAAAGCCGTGTGTGTGTGTGTGTGTGTGTGTGTGTGTGCGCGCGCGCGCGCCTCGCTGTCCCGTCCTTTATCGTCTAACGGGGCAGGAAGAGCCAACTTACCTGACCGGAGAGTAGGGAGTCGGTTCTCCCCGTGTTGGAAATTAAAAAAAAAAAGCGACCCAAGTTTTCAGGCTGCGGGACTTGAATGCAGGAGACATGACTTTCGTTGAATGGCCCTTTTGTATATAGATCGGGGGCGCAGCGTGTGTGTGTGTGTGTGTGTGTGTGTGTGTGTGCAGGGAAAACACGTTGGTTTGTTGAAATAACACTCCACCTTGAAAGTGGTTGAAAATAAAACCCTGCTTCATGAACGCCTTTATTTTTTCAAAGTTAATCCACACTGTGGTGGAAGTTTTTTTGGGGGGGTGGCGGGCGCGGGCGGATGGGGGGTTGAACATTCTGTCCGAGTTGTACGCTTGGAGTTTCACTTTATTATTTTATTCGTGTTGACTGTGTTACTCATTCAAAGTGCCCAGGGGATGTGAATAATCAGTGTCACTTATTTGTTTTTACTTAGGGTCAGTTTCACTTTGTTTTCTGTATCCCTGAATCAAGTCTACAGTAAGTATTTTGGATTGTAAAGATTTAAGGCTAATGGGCTGTTGACCTCAATCTAATTAGAACCCCGGGTTGTGGCGCGCGCGTTTCCCTTTGGAAACGGAAATGCTGCAGGAAGTGCGGGAGTGTTAACAGTTTCTTTTCAGACGTGTTGCCATCCCCTCCGCGTATGTGCATTGCTACGCTGTTGACATGGTGACACCCTCTTTTTTTTTTTTTAAAGACATGGTAGCAGAACCGGGACTAGCAGCAGGGAGGGCTTCCGGGGCAGGAGCAAACGCGGATTGTTAACTAGCAAGGGTCACCTGTGTGCAGGCACCCCGCCTGGCTCCTCTGCGCCCTGGCTCACGTGGCTGAGGGCCAAAGGAGCTGACGTTTGATAACAGTGGCGGTAATATTGACTGCTCAAGAATGCAGATACTTCGGGAAATTGTGGCATGAAGTGATTTTGAACCCGTGTATAGTTTTTTTTTTTTTTTCCCCTGCCACGGAGACGCGTTTTCCGTGACTTTTTGAAGACTTGAGCCTGGTTACTGTGCGAGTTGCTGCTGTGCGGACTTTGCTGCCTGAGGGCTTCCGGGTGTGACTTCACTGGAGAATGAATGAATGGGTTAGGCTAGTTTTTCCGCATTGCACTGTAGTGGTGCTTGAGGTGTGTGTTGCTTAGGTGTTATACATGTGTGTATCCTCTGGAAAGGCCGCTGGAGCAGGTACAGTGGCTCGACCGGGTCAGTTGCTGTGGCTGTCCTTAAGGGACGGTTCTCTGCTGGCTTGCCCAGTTCATCTTTGTTGTTCTGGTGGCTGACTTTCCTCCTGCTCCTGCCCCCACACTGGTTTCCTAATCTCCTTTGACTGTTCCATGAGGAATGAGGAAGGGTAAACTCTATTGGATGATGCAGTTAAAGCTTTCTTCCTGAAAGAGGATGTAGGTCTTTATTTGATTTAAAAGTTTTAATTCAGTTTTTTTTTCCCCTTGGTTCATTGAGATTTAATTAACATTTGCTTTTCTGTTTCCACATAAACACGGTTCCAGAATCTCCCCACTTGTGGAGTTTTTTGGAGTAGTAATCTAAAAACCAAACACAATTGAGGCGTCTAATTCAGCCAGTGCACATAATGCTTACGCCATGAAGTGGCACGTGTGTATTTTAGTATCCTTTATAGGATGATAAAGATATTGGATATATGTATTTAAATATTGGATTTTTTTTAAAAACATTGTAGAGGCTGTTCCTCCTTCAGTGTTTAAGGGTTAAGTGATATGTTACCCAGAAGCCCTTCAGCACAAGCTGGTGGTGAAAGCAAATGTTAGGTACTTCCTGTTTGTTCACCAGTTCAGGGGATGGAGATGAGGACACAGCGGGGAGCAACAAGGAAAGGCCGGTGCTGCTGGAGGGAGCAGTCCTCAGTGCAGGGTGGGCTTTGTGGGCACTGTGGCCAGTGTTCACTGGTGCTGGCCGTGCAAGCCCAGGGAACGGTGGGAGGGTTGCTGGCCAGAGTGCCAAGTGTAGGTGCCAGGGCCTGGTCTGGGCAGGCAGTCCTGGCGCTCCTGGAGGGGGCTCTGCAGGACAGGGGCAGGCCTGGCTCTGGTTGCTGGAGGGCGGTCGCAGACGCATCCCCACAGGCGTGCTGCTGATGGGTGCTGCGGCCCGGGGTGCAGTGGCCCGAGGGAGCGCCGCTGGGGCCCTGGCCTCTCAGCCCAGGTGCTGACAGTGGGCTTGCGGTAGCTTCGTTCTATACACCCTCAAAGGTTCCTTCCACCATTAAGTGCTGCTGTTAACGTGCAACGAAGTGCTCAGAGCAGAGAGAATGCTCAGGGGAGTTTATAGTGAGATGGGCCGAGAAAATGAAATACTTTGTACTGTATTTGTGTTCCAGTTTGATGTCAGTGTGTTACAGGTTCCGCATAGCGTGCGCACTGAGACAGTGCCCTCTGGCCAGGGGGACCCCTAGCATTACAGGTTTCTTTTGATTGTTGTGTTTAATGTAGTATCATTTTGTACTTTGAGCTTACAATTACAGTTACATTTTTCTCTTCATGTAGTTGAGACTGTTCCCTAAGAAATCTTATATGAATTGGATATTTAGTCAAATCCATTAGTTTGTGTTGTGTTCCTGGTTCTAGGTAGTTGAGGGGAAAAAACAGGTACTTAGTAAATGTACAGAACTGGAAATTGAGGTGCCAGATTGTAAAATGAAATATCAAGCTTTGAGTGGACGTGGGATAGAATGAGAAGTTCAAGTATTTCATTGCAGATTTTAAAATATAGACTGTTGGCACTTGGAGCTTTGTATGGCGCTGTGTCCGAGGCCGTCTGAGTGATTTGTTTATCCGATCACCGAGTCGTGCAGGGCGGGGGGCGGCTGTGAGGGTGCTGCTGGCTCACCGCGTGACCCACCCTGTGCTTTCTGTCTTGCAGAGCTGAGCAATGACCATAGTTGACAAAGCTTCTGAATCTTCAGGCCCGTCAGCCTATCAGAATCCACCTGGCAGTTCGGAGGCGGTCTCACCTGGAGACATGGATGCGGGTTCTGCCAGCTGGGGTGCTGTGTCTTCGTTAAATGATGTTTCAAACCACACCCTTTCTCTAGGACCAGTACCTGGTGCTGTAGTTTACTCCAGTTCTTCTGTATCTGATAAATCAAAGCCATCACCACAGAAAGATCAAGGTACTGTTTGGGTCCAGCATCCTTGCCTGAAACTTGGGTGGGAGTGCTGCTGGTGGCCCCGCCCCTGGGCCGCTGCTCCAGGGCGTCAGTCCTGCTCGGTGGTGATGGCAGTTAGCTGCCGTGGCCACAGCAGGTGGAGTGGTTCTGGGTGGATGTTAACAGGTTCTCTTGTTTCTGAGGTTTTGAGGGACAGACTTACCTTGGCGAGGCTTGAGATGGGCATGTCGTGTTACATGGACTTGTCAGCTAACCAGTAGTTAGTGTTCTCTGAATAGAGTTCTTGAACACTTTAAAGGTTTCTTTTTGTTGTGTGTTTTGTGTTTTGTTTTTTAATGGTTGTTGTTCCAGGGTGGGGAGCCTTGTTTCTGCCATGGGCTATTGGATATTTGCAACATCATTTGCAGGCCATACACAATTATCAGCTTCAAAATCGCCCTGCTGTGGATTGATTGAATATCGAGTCCCTCTGGTGGTTGCCTTGGTGGTTTTGTGGGCCTTCTGCGGCCCGTGAGCCAGGTGTTCCCTGCTCTGGAGACAAGTGGGCTCTCCCTAGGTTTTTTTTTTTTTTTTTTTACTAGTTAAAAACCATGTACTAATAAAGCTGTTTGAAGTAGAACAGATAATGTAACGGTTAGATTTGTTTCTCTGTTGTGAATGTGGTTACACATGTTAAAATCCTCCCAGATAAATGAGACACATTTTTGGCATTGCTTGGCTTAGAATGTGTTGTCCCCTTGTGCTGTTGGGATCCTGGCTGGGGGAGAAGTGATACTGTTTGCCGAAGGTGTTTGAGTGGAAACAGTTCATGTCACAGAACTCGAGCTCCTTCACCAGCAGGGCCTTCTCACAGCAGCCTCTCCAAGGCTCCAGCCTCCTCCGGTGCTGCTGGGGGTTAGTGCTGCTGGGGGTTAGTGCTGCTGGGGGTTACGGCTCACACCTCCCCACTGGGCTGCCTTGTGGGGGCTTTTTCCCACCCTCTGCAGCCTCCTTACTCTTTTCTGATTTTTTTCTCTCCATTCCTCTACCAAGCCTGTCTTTGCAGACTCAGGTCACCTGTGTGAGTCAAGTGGCAGCATCTGTGGGTGTTCGCAGAGCTGGCAGGCCTTTGGAACTTGGTCTTGACTGTGGGTGATCTTAAGTTGCCCAAGTAGGCTGTTGGCCGAGCTCACCTGAGTTCTGATAGCTTGCTCAGTTGCTAGGAATCTTTGCGGAAGTCTCTGACATGGGGAAGACTACGTAGGCAACCACGTTCAGCCTTGTCCATACGGCATGCCTGCTTGGTGCTGACAGCCTGAGTCCTGGCAAGGGCCCAGGCAGTGACAGGACAGTGGTGGCAGTAGTGGAACTGAGTACACAAGGGAACTTCAAGGGATCTCAACTGGCTAATGGCATGATGGCTCAACTGGCTAGTCTGTGCCTGTATGCGCCAGCATCCCATGGAGTGCTGGTTCATGTCCCGGCTACTCCACTTCCCTTTTTGATGCCTGCTTGTGTCCTGGGAAAGCAGCCGAGGATTGCCCAAAGCCTTAGAACCCTGTCCACATGTGGAAGACGTGGAGGAGGCTCCTGGCTTCTGGCTTCCAATCGACTCATCCCTGGCCCTTGTGGTCATTTGGGGAGTGAACCGGCAGATGGAATATTTTTAATAAACAAAACAGCACAAAAGGTAAAGGTACTTCAGGAGGTACATGGAATAAAAAGAAATAGATCAGTTTACTAGATGCATGCTCATCAAGGCTTGCCAATGCATGGGAAGCATGGAAGGTGCTGCCTTGGGGCCAGCAGAGGCCCCTGCCTGGCAGGTGTGTCAGGGACTCTTGAACGCACCACGAGGTGTCTGTAACCCATTTTGTCACCTGTGGTGATTATAGCAATACCTCTCATTTTAAAAAACGTGTCCCGAGGAGTGGGTGTTTGACCTGGCAGTTACGGTGCCCTGCAGGATTGGAGTAGCTGCATTCCACTGCCAGCTCTAGTTCCAGCTGCCTGCTGGTGCACAGCTGGGAGGCAATGCGACCAGTCCCCAGGAGAGCTGGGGTTGGGCTCTGTGCCCTTGGCCTCGGCCTAGCTCAGACCAGGCTGTTGCTGGCATCTGGGGAGTGATCCAGCAAATAAGAGCTCTCTGTTTCTTTACTGCCAGATTTTTAAAACATTATTTTGAAAAATTTTGAGTGAATATAAAATAGCAATTAAATGAAATCTTATGTAGTCGTCAGTCTGTTAGATATCAGCTCAGAGTCAGTTATGCTGCCTAAACCTCCCACCGCTTTACTTACTTTTTAAAAAAGTGTATTTACTTGAAAGAGTTACAGGAGTAAGAGGGAGAGATCTTCCATCCCTGGTTTGCTTACCAAACGGCCTCAACTGCTGGGGTGGGGCCAGTCTGAAGGCAGGAGCCGCGAGCTGCTTCCAGGTCTCCCCCGTGGGTGCTGGGTGGGCCTCACCTTCTGCGCTCCCAGGCACATTAGCAGGGTGTTGAGTCAGAGCTGGAGTAGCGGGGACTGGAGTTCGCTCCCATACGGGATGCCGCTGCCATGGGCAGCCGCTTTACAAGTTCAGTGCTTCATACTTCATACATAAAACTTTGGTGTGTATCTAAAGGATTCTTTTGTTAAAAAAAAAAGTTCTTTGTATAAAAAATGTGGTCAGTTTTAAATCTCCTTGGAGGTCTTGTCACCTCTTGTCAGCGGTTGGCTGTTGAGTCCCAGTGAGCTTAGGACTTGGGTGGGTGCGCCTCTCAAGTTTCTTTGGATGTGTAATCCCTGCTTGTGTTTGTAATTTATTGACTAAAGCAGCCGAATCATGTGGTTTCGTGCGTCCTCTGAGCACACTGAGGTGTGGTCACGTGGGGCTGTTTGTCCCTCGGAGCCCGTGCAGCTGTTTTGAAATGCTGCCTGTCTCTCTCCAGCCCTAGGTGATGGCATTGCCCCTCCGCAGAAGGTTCTCTTCCCGTCTGAGAAGATTTGCTTGAAGTGGCAGCAGACTCACAGAGTTGGAGCTGGCCTCCAGAATTTGGGCAATACCTGCTTTGCCAACGCGGCACTGCAGTGCCTCACCTACACGCCGCCTCTCGCCAATTACATGCTGTCGCACGAGCACTCCAAGACCTGTGAGTGTGCCACATTCGCGCGTGCGCGTGCTGTGCTAGAACCGAGTGGCAGGGAGGGATTGGGGCAAGGGGTATTTGATTGCTCAGAAGTTGTTTTATTCTTTCAGCAAACAAAGGAGGCTCCGGATGTGTATGCTACTTGGGTGAAAAGCATTTTGTTTCTACTGAAACAGTGTTTTAAAAAGAAACATTTAATCAGCATTAAGCATTTCTGCAAACCCCCAGCCCAGCTGGTTTCTACAAGTGTTAAAACAATGTGATGTCAATATCTGATAGTAACAGTTTGCAGACAGACAGGTTAAGCAATGGTGTGTTTGCCCAGGTTTGTCGGTAGCCCCACAGGGCAGGGCAGAGAGCAGCTCCAGCCTGGCCGGGCCCTCAGGGAGGTGCACCTGCCAGGAGCTGGCCCCTGGTTCCTTAGTGAGCCTCAGATTTAGAATATCCTTTTTTTGAGTTATGATCTTCACATATTGTAAATATCCTTTTCCTTTATATAAATGAAGTTGTTCTTTGAAATTACGCTCAAATCTGCATACTAGTGCTAATGTTAATGATGAGGAGGGGACTCCTCCTTGGTCTCTTACAGATGCTCCTAACACACATTGATTGTTATAAAATTGTTTTTTCTTTCTGAAGAGCTTATTCTGTTTAAGAAGAATTTAGGAAATGCAAAAATTTAAAGAAACCAAGGAAACATGACCTTGCGTCTCAAATGGAATGGTAGTTATTGTGCTGAGTTTTCCAGATAACAGAGTGAATATTCTGTTTGGCTTTGTTTTTCTCCTTCGAAGCCCATCAGTCATTCCTCAGAGACCGTGTCCTGTCACTTGCACTTCCTGAAAGCAGGGTGCGGGTGACCGCTCGACGGCGGCCCCCAGGACAGTGTCGAGAACGCGCCAGGATGAGACGCAGGAGTTCCTGGGGTCCAGAATTAGGCACCTGCCTTTGTCTCTCCTCTCCCTAGCGTTACTGGGGTGTTTTTGATACACAGTAAATTGCACATATTTAAAGTGCACAGTCTGAGGGATTCCAACCTCCGTGTGCGTGTGAAAGCCTTGTCATGAGAAGGATTCTGAACCCACGGATCACGGGTTTCCTGACGCCCTGCCTTCAGCCGCTGTCACCCTCGATCTCTCCCCTAGGAAGGCCCTGATGGACCCTGACGGGCTAGTTGGGAGTTTGCTTTCTTTCTTTTTTTAAAGTGTAACTTTTAAAAAAAAGATTTATTTATATTGGAAGGTCAGATATACAGAGAAGAGGAGAGACAGAGAGGAAGATCTTCTGTCCAATGATTCACTCCCCAAGTGACTGCAATGGCCGGAGCTGAGCCGATCCAAAGCCAGGAGCCAGGAGCTTCCTCCGGGTCTCCTGTTTGGGTGCATGGTCCCAAGCACTTGGGCTGTCCTCTACTACGTTTGCAGGCTATAAGCAAGGAGCTGGATGGGAATTGGAGCAGCTGGGACATGAACTTGTTGCCCATGTGGGATTCCTGTGAGTGGAAGGCAAAGATTAGCAAACAAACCATTATGCTGGGCTCTAAAATGAATTTCACTTTATTGATTTGTAGAGCTACAGAGAGAGATCTTCCATCTGCAGGTTCACTTCCCAGATGGCCACAACAGCTAGGGCCAGGCTAGGCCTAGCGTGCAGAGCCTCTTTCAGGTCTCCCGTGTCAGTGTAGGAGCCCAAGTACTTGGGCCGCCCTCCACTGCTTTCCCAGGCCCTGAGCAGGGAGCTGAAGTTAGAGGCGCTCCTGGCAGGAGTGGGGCCTTCTGAGCAGCGGTCACTGCTGGGCCTCACGATCTGCCCCCAATTTGGATTTCCTAGATCATCCAGTTTGTGGAATTGCGTATGTAAGAGAGCTCCAAGGGCTTTGTCAGCAATGGAGTTAAAAGGTGTTTATTTTGGTTGCACTAATTTCAGCATCCATACATGTTGGTTTTAAAATTTTTATATATATAGTTTTTTTTTTTTTTTAAAGATTTATTTTATTGTAAGGTGGATGTACAGAGAGGAGGAGAGACAGAGAGGAAGATCTTCCATCCGATGATTCACTCCCCAAGTGACTGCAATGGCTGGAGCTGAGCCAATTCGAAGCCAGGAGCTCTTCCTGATCTCCCACACGGGCGCAGGATCCCAAGGCCTTGGGCAGTCCTCCACTGCTTTCCCAGGCCACAAGCAGGGAGCTAGATGAGAAACAGGGTCACTGGGATTAGAACTGGCGCCCGTATGGGATCCTGGGCGTGCAAGGCGAGGACTTTAACCACTACGCTGTCATGCTGGGCCCTTTCTATAGTATTTTCCTTCAGCTGTTTGAAGGCTCCTATATATATTCTTGGTTCTTTCTCTCATTGTAACTATTTTGATGCTGTCTTGTATCAGTAGTCCATTGTTGGACACACCAGTCTCTCTCTGCCTTTTCCTGTGGGTAGGCATCTAGGGCCGTCACAGATAAGCTGTGGCCAGTATTTGGGAACAAAGGACACGAGGACATGTTTCGGGTTCTCTTAGGTTGACACTGACTTGGTTGGTCCTCTGATGTGTGTGGACTGATTTTGTTTTTCTTTGGACTATACTTGAAAGAGAGAGAAAGATCTTCCATCTGCTGGCTTATTCCACAAATGCTTGCAGCGGGCTGGAGCTGGGACAGCCCATAGCTGGGAAACTAGAACTCAGTCTGGGCGTCCCCTGTGTGTGGCAGGAGGCCAGGTCCTTGGGCCGTCCCTTGCTGCTCCCAGGCGTGCAGCGGCGGGGAGCTGGGGTTGGGAGCAGGCCTGGCCCAGGTGCTGCCGCGGCTGCTGCAGCCTTCAGTGCTGGGCCCTAGGCCTGCCTCTGTAGCTCCTGTAGAGGCTTCTTGACTGTAATACATTGTGTCCGTAACAGTGCACGCTCATTGTTCCACACCCTGGCCCTGCGTAGGAGCTGGGTCATCAGTGTGTTGTTTTAAGCCATTTTGGAGGTATGTTGTGTATTAGTGTCTTAGTGTGATTTTAGCTTGTTTTGCTAATGAATAATGGTGCTGAATATTATTTCAAGTGGTTATTGCCATCTGTAGATTGATTTTGCTGAAAGGCCTCTTTAAGTCTTTTCCCTGTTTTATATGTTTGATTTCATTGTATTTTAGAGAGAGTGAAACTTTGCATGTGCTGGCTTATTCTTTAAAAAAATTTTTTAAAAAGATTTATTTTTTATTTTTATTAGAAAGGTGGATATATAGAGAGGAGAGACAGAGAGGAAGATCTTCTGCCCGATGATTCACTCCCCAAGTGGCCACAATAGCCAGTTCTGCGCTCATCCAAAACCAGGAGCCAGGAGCTTCTTCCGGGTCCCCTACGCGGGTGCAGGGTCCCAAGGCATTGGGCCGTCCTCGACTGCTTTCCCAGCCCACAAGCAGGGAGCTGGATGAGAAGCGGGGCTGTGGGGATTAGAACCGGTGCCCATATGGGATCCCGAGCGTGCAAGGCGAGGACCTTAACCACTGCGCCACCGTGCCGGGCCCAAATTTTTTTTTTTCACATTTTATTATTATTGCTATCATTTTACGATACAGTTCCATATTCCCTTATCCCCTCCCCAATCCCCCCCCCAGTTCCTTTATTTCATTATTAACATATAGTTCTTCATACTCAGTCATATGTTCATCATTGCGGGCATGGACAATGGCAGAGAGTCCAGAATCCTATTGTCAAAATATAATACAAACAGTTTCACTGTAAGTCCATCTTTGTCTGGAAACAGAAATGCATACCACACTACATCCTCACATCTGGATGTTAGTCTCCATTACATAACTACTGTACATTTCCTTAAATGAAGAGCCACAAAACAAAATCAACATCCGAGAGAAAAAAGAAATTAACAACACCAAGAAGTTAAACAACATGCTATTAAATGTCCAACGTGTAGCTGAAGAAGTGAAAATCAGGAACCTTCTTGAAGAAAATGATGCCACTGCATGATCTACGAGTCATTGAATGATTTAATCAGAAGAAAGTGTTTTGAAGAGATGAAACCAACAGAAAACAACAAAACCCATGTGATAGAGTTTCTGCTGATCTTTGTTGGAGTGTGTCTCCTCCAGACAATAAACAGATGGGTTTTGTTTTTTAATCCAGTCTACTAATCTATGATGTTTGAGTGAGCTTAAGCAATTTACATTTAGAGTTAAACATACATAAGTGGTACTTTGGTCCTGTCATTTTAGGAATGGGTTGTTGATTGGTTTAGTCTTCTGTTGTCATTTTACTGGGATGTTCTTCCCATTTGCCTTTGGTTTGGTAGGTGCTATTCCTCTTCTCTGTCAAGAGGACATCTTGAAGTATCATTTGTAGGGCAGGTTTGGAAGAAGCAAATTCTTTTAGCTTTTCTTTACTCTGGAAGAATTTTATTTCATTTTCAAAGATGAAAGAAAGCTTTGCTGGGTACGTTGTCTTGGGCCACCAATTTTTTTCTTTTGGAATCTGGAATATGTTGCTCCATTCTCTTCTTGCCTGTAGAGTTTCCTGTGAGAGGTCTCCTGTGAGTTTAATTGGCATTCCTTTATATGTCAATTGATGTTTTTCACGTGCACATTTAAGGATCTTTTCCTTATGTTCAATTGAAGAGAGCTTGATGATCATATGTCTTGGTGAAGATCGCTTTTGATCAAGCCTGTTGGGAGTTCTGTGTCCCTCCTGGATCTTGTTTCCCAATTCTTTCTCTAGATTAGGGAAATTTTCCTTTATTATTTCATTAAATGGGTCCAAAATTTTTTTTAAATTTTTAAAAGATTGATTTATTTTTAGTACAAAATCAGATATACAGAGAGGAAGACAGAGAGGAAGATCTTCCATCCGATGATTCACTCACCAAGTGACTGCAACGGCTGGTGCTGAGCCAATTCGAAGCCAGGAGCCAGGATCTTCTTCTGGGTCTCCTGCGTAGGTGCGGGGTCCCAAAGCTTTGGGCTGTGCTTGACTGCTTTCCCAGGCCACAAGCAGGGAGCTGGATGGGAAGTAGAG